CTATTCAATTAAAGCCAAAGAGAGTTTTTTAGAGATTTCTTACGTTAGGCTAGTGCGATTCCAAGCTGTATTATAATTGCTTTTTTCTCATTTAGATTAATTGCGAACAGGACAAAGTTGCTTCTTCTGGTTTTTGATATGCATTTAACTGTGGTTTATTGATAGTTGATGCAAGATTTCTATTTTAAGGGTCTCTATCATGTTCAATAGAAACACTTTACCACTTGATATTGCAAATAAGAAGAAGATATGAAATTATCTATAACACTTTTATCGTTTTTGTAACTACAATCGACTTATCTCATGATTTTTTATATTCCCTAAGAGATCGCTCTTATCATTGCAACCTACGCATAATTTGCGTTTTCACTGTTTTTCATAGATAATTGGTCTTGATACGTTGTGGTAACATCTTTAAGATATAGGGTTTTTTTCAAAATTAAGATGCGAGCAATTATAGCTTTGAAATATTCTCATTGGTGCTGCATCTGCTTAACATCCTCTCGTTATAAACTAGATATAATGTGGTACAAATTTTAATCAGAAAAATGTGGTGTGTTATCTGTGAAGCGTGTCGTAGGCTAGGAATGATTTCCAATTATGGTGACAAGGAGGCTCTTTGGGGGCATTTGTGTACACCTTGCTGACCAGACCAACAGAAACCATTGTATGGTTTGTCTCGCACTGGGGCTTACTTATTATTTTAGAAAGTGTAGTAACGGGTAAGAGTGTTCCTCGTATTGAAAAGTAACTGAACTTGACAAGAACTTTAACATAGCTTATGATCGTGACTTTATGTTTTAAGGAGAAAAAAGGCTCGTGGGCACTCTTTAACCAGGCGATTTTAAACAAGGGTTTTCACCTAGGTTTCATTCTCTCATAAGCCATCCATGACGAAGATTGTTTTTCACAATAAACTTAATGTTTTTTAATTGTTCTATGAAAGGCAGAGCATGTTGCTAGCCCTGTAAAAGGCCTGAAGCTATTCCAGGAAAAGCGACAATCCAAGGGTTCTAAGTTTAAAGATATTGCTAAAAAATGAATGCTCAGATACGCCTCCAAAGATGGATGCAAACTTGGGGAGTTTATTTAAATTGCGGTTCTATTGTTTAAACTGCATCAACTTTTGATTGATCCAAAAGCCCATACTCCCGATAGTTTTTCTGGAGATTTTTTAAAGCGAGGAAGATATGAGTGGTATTTTTACAAGAAAAATATGAGCATAGATTATTGAAGTATACATGCCTGCAATTATTACTAATTACTCCAACTGTGACGATTAGCTGTTGCGTTGAGTTGACTGCAATTGCCTTGCTGATGTCAGAAGGCCTTCAGCTACAATACACAGAACTTAGTCATTACAGGGCCTACGTCATTGAGGCTTTAATGACTGATAAGGCTGTAGCAAAATTGTTTCACGAGCAGATTCATATCTTGCTTTGACCTTTGTGTGCAAGGGGTTAGTTTAATTCGCATTTATATATCATGAGAAGTTCAGATCAGGCCTTGTTGTTTGAATTTCTGTGACTCTTTGGCAGGTACCCATGTTCATTTAGAGGATATGTTTATTATTCTTTGCTAAAGATAGTAATGCTTTGCTAGTGCATTAGATTTTAATTGCGAAGTTATTTTTTTGCAAAAATTCGTTAACGAAGCAGGCCAGCCCTCTATGTCTATGTAAACTGATGTCTCCTACCAATGCAAAGAGAATTGAGTGAATAGCATCATGCTGTGTTCACTTTGAAGAATTAACATCTCTTGCAGTGGCCCTCGCAAGTGCCTCGTAGAATTGCAGTTTGTAGAATATATTCCGGTTATTTTAGACGCTCGAATAGTTGGCAGGCCAAAAGTTGCAGATATGAGTTAACTAGATATATATCATACGAAAGTATTACTAAAAGGAGCCAAATATTGCTTAAGTTTTCTTTAAATAAACTAAAGTACTAATGTCCTCTAGAAAGAATTATATACCTCTCCGTGATCAATGTTCTAAGCACAATTGGCAAATATACTTCTGGTTTACTTCAAATCTCTTCAATGTATGCAAAAAGAGAATGTTGTCCAGAAGAAAGCGCTATCTTGAAATTGCTCGCCCTTGTTTACTATCGAAAGTTCATTAAGTTGTGTCTTTTGTGTGTCTCACAAAGTGTGTCTTTATTTGTCAACAAGATTCTGAATGCAAGCTTTGTGCTAACAACAACAGCTAGACAATTCTGAGAATATAAAAAAGTATATGAAAAGCCTAGCTCGAGACCAAAAAGCTAACAGTTCGTTGGTCAGTGAGCACTGTCATTCGCGTGTTGTTGGATTCTCTTAAGAGGGTGTCTTGCTGGTGAAGACAGTGTAGTGAATTGACAATGCTTTGCTCTGTGTCGATGGAAATAAACAGGTGAAGGTAAATGGTTGCACGCTCTCGTTGCGCTCAAACTGCAGCATGTGGGCTGAGCTGTCACTGGCTACCCACACATGGGGCGCCATTGTTGCATCTGAAAGTTCAGCATCGTTTCTTGTGAGAAATAGCTTTGAAAGTCCTGCACTGTACGTATGGTTCTTGTGTGGCAAGTCAGTGTGGGAAAATTGTGTGTCTGCCAGCATACGCCTCTTCAATCTTTCATTTAAGAATAGATGCTAGTCCCCTTTCTGTTCTTCTCTCTTTGGATAACTGTGGCAGTCGTTATCAAGCTGCGACAGTCAGCAAGTTACTGAGCATCGCTAATGGTTGCTAATCTCTTTTCTTGTAAGCTCAATAGCTAACCATTGCTTTAAACAAACTAAGCCCGTTATCTGCGCAAAAGGCTCGTTGTTCCAACTGCAAAAGCACCCTTTGGTGACACTCTTAATGGCTTTAGATTTTAGAAAAAAACATGCGAGTTCTCTGAAATGAAAATGAAGAATGTCCGTTGATTTTGAGTATTTCTTTTGTTTTCAAAATGAAAAAGAAAAATTGACTGCACCCGATGTTTTCAAAATCAATAATAGCTTATTAGACTTTATGCAGAATGGCTTTGGTGTGTAGAAAATGACGTCTCTAAGCTGCAACTCCAAGTTTCACGCTTAATCTGATCATCAGACAACTTTCCTTACCATTGGCTTCTAACTGGTATTGCCAGATCTAAAGCTTACAGAATATTAATCATTGTCATTTTTGAGTGTTTGTGCTACGTTTAGAAAAAGACGCATGGGTTGTGATTAGTAGAATCTTAGGCCCATATTAGGTGCATTCAATGCAAGTATCGAACAAGAGACAATTCTATGTGTAGTAAACTTTTTTCAAAAACTTGTCTTCGTCTCTTTTTGTACCTCTTGTTTGCCTTTTGGTAGCATTACGTCAAAGGAATCAAACCTGTTTGAGTATCCTCCAACTACTAGAAAATAAGGCTTGTAGTATTCACAACAAGGCTTAAATTGATTGAAATTAAACTAACAATTTGAAAAATGGCTAAGTTGAGAATTTTGCGTTTATTAAAGAACGAAATACCAAAAATTCCTTGTCTGAAAGTCCAGGGAGTTGAAACGTCTTCCTTGCTCTTAACTTCATATTGGTAAATAGATTCCAAATTTCGACGTTCAGTCCATCCCAACCCTTAACCTGGTTTTTGTTTTCTCATATAACTTTTCTTGTTAACTAACTTTTTAGTTATGCTTTTTGATCAACGGTGGCACTTGACGGTTGCATTTTGCTCCTCAAACAGCACACTTCAACTTTTATCAACGATTATGGTTGGTTCAACCTAGGATATAATACAATGTTGCAGTATTGTCTGATGTCATAATAGCGCTTGTTTTGAACACAAGTTGGTCATCGCTTATTGAAAGCACGTAAGACGTTAAGCAACTAAATGGCTTAAAGGTTTTTTTTGCTTAAGGATAATTTCACTCATCATAATTAAATTTCGCACCAGTTTCTGAAAGACCTGCTATCTTGACCAGTTTGTTTTTAAAATGTGCAACCAATGTTTGCTTAGCTGCTGCATAGTTTTAAGCACTTGTCTAGCATTATTCCAGATTGCTGATGATAATAAAAAACTTTTCTTGACTTGCACAAGAATAATTCTTATGTCCTTTAATAGCGTGTTATTGTAAAACCAGGAGAAGCTTATGTCATAGCGAGGTCATAAACACGAGAACGAGGATTGCATTAGGCTGATTTTCGTGCTGCAATACACAGTCCACAGCGACACAAATACTGCAATGATCATTTTAGTGCTCTAAGTGCTGTGTACTCCCTTAGAGTAGGGTCTTACTTTAGGCCAAGACTCATATTGAATTTGGGAAATAAAGATTTTATATTTGGGATTCCTAATCATATAAGGGCGTGAAAAATATTTAGGATTACATTGAAAGAATAAGAGCATAAAAATTTCTTTGTACGTGGTCTTGAATCAAGTTGCCATTTCCCAAGTTCAATTTCATATTTTAATCCAGCCAGAGGGGTTTGCCGACTAGTTTTTTCAAACTAGTTTTTTCAAACTTTCAAACAAACGTGACTGTATATGGAGAAATTATTATTTATGCTTTATTGCTTCTATTTTTCAATTGTGTTAGTTGGTCTTTTCAGGAACAAAGATCACCTTCGATATATTTTTTCTCGACTTTGTATCATTAATAAAAAATAAGATACAATGAGACTGTCTATTCTATTTGCTGACAGGCTGCAATTGGTTGTTTGCTGGTTTCATATATTCTGTACCATACTTTCAAGAAAAGCAAGCTTGGTTCGTAATGGCGAGATACCAAGATTCTATAGCGTTTATAGAGTCTCTATCAGGACGAATAATGATTCTTTTAGAAACACAAAGTTATGAAGGACCTTTATGCACTATAGTAATATTGTATATATAAATGTGGCAATCTTTGATTGTTTAGTGCTTCTTCAGAGGTACAGTGCTGTGGCTTTTCTGAGTCTTTATGATCGTACTCCACTCACTTTAGATATTAAAAACTTGCATGGTTAATCATCTAACAATCTTGATCTTGATTTTGAATTTTTCCTGTCGCAGGACTGGAGGGAGGATGTTGACGATCTTCTTCGTTTTGACTTGCCTTGTTATTTATTCGAACGCCCACCGGAAGGAGAAGAGGTTAAGTACGACTTTTAATAAATGTACAATGAAACCGTTAAGATTACATTTAGAGGACTCGCGATGTCGTATTGATGGTCACCTACCTACCATCTACGGCTGCATCGGATCCTGCAGATCTGCAACGATTTCTCTCACGGACCGACTTGCTTTCGTGCCATATTGTCAGTGTTGTCAGCCATACCTGCTCTCAAGTGTCAATGCCACATTGGTTTGCAGTTTTGGTGGCATTGAGCGGAGAATACCAATCATAACCGCACGGCGATGTCATTGCAGAAAGTGCTTTTGATTACCTACCATTGGTAATGATCGTGGTTAGAACTACGGCACTAGCACTTGAAACCAGTGCAGTGATGAAATGCATCTTGTCAGTGCTTGGTCGATATTTGCATTGAGCAGGCATCCAAAGGCAAGCTTACATAGATTTGATGGCTGCAGCCTTATGATACGCGTACATAGCCAAGTCCAGCAGAACCATAGTATGTTATGAAACTAATACGAAGCTCCTACTAAGCGTGGGCGGTTGCCGTAATGTGAAATGAACAGCGTCAATCCTGTCAAAATGAAAATTTTCTGTATCATAACCTAATAAAGATTGCATATATATTTACGCTAAATTATTAGTTGCATACTTTTAAATGTTTCAGCCATTGCCGTGCAGATTAATTTTGACATAGTGGTATTTGCCCTTCATTTATAATGCCAACCTGGCAGAACAAATTCAGAATAGCTTTTCTTTTGAAATGCTAATACAGCATTATTATTTACTTATACTTACCTACACTGTGCTAGCGTTAGAAACCACGCTACCAAACTTGTTTCCTTCGAACTTCAGTTGTACTTCCTAACGCCTTCTAAGGATAACTTGTTAAGAGCCTAATTATTTAATAAGCAAAATGGCTATTTCTTGGAATGACTGACTGACTTACTTCTTTCCTCGATTTTCTGTTGTATTGGTAATCCTCTTCGTTGTAGAATCCTCTACAAATCGTAGTATCCCACAAGAGCCTAGATGATAGCTAAGATATTAGTAAGATGGTCATTTGAACTAGCCTTTGTAGGGGAACTCTATTACATTCTTTATTCAGTTGGAAGTTCTGATATTCCCTCATTGATGGCTTCTTGTGCGGTAAAATGTATCAGAAAACCTATGCCGCAAGGTGTTGGAAGTCCACGATAATTTGCAAATAGTGTCTCTGTCTAATGATCTAACATGATCTAATAAGTGATACCTCTAATTTAGCTCCTCATATTTCATAATGTTTATCTTATTAATTCTGGCTTCCTTTGTCCTGGTAATCGTGATCATAATGTGACTATGTTAGTTAGATTTAGGTGATCCTTCAATCTTTATGTTATGCTAATTACAGCCCTGACTTGTTTGCCTGGGTTACTTGGTCGTGATTCTTGCCTAGCGCAACCATCACCTTGTCTGCCCACTCAATATAAAAAGAAGAGCTTAGAATATATTCCAGCCAAAATTCGTTGAGTAAAGTTTAATGTAAACCTCAATTTGTAACTTGAAAATAGATATTAATTAAACTGTCGCCTTCATGTTAATTAAATTATTTACACATACAGAATTGGATTTTTGCGTATGGTTTTCCTGGTTAAAGCTCTTGTACCAAATAATGGCTGCCTTGGGTGGCCTGGGAAAATTAGATTAGGCCTACACCTCAACACTACTTATTGCATGCAATTTAGCCACAATTGTTTATATACAAAAAAGCTGCCCCACGGATGGCTAAGCTTTGGTAAACCTTTATTTTGTCAGCTTCTTCGTTTAGTGAAAAATTATACAAAAACAATTTGGAAACTAAAGTTCTTTAATATATGTTCATAAAATGTCGGCAACTCCTTAACCGAGGGTAAAGTTTCACTGCATTTCTTTTATTTGATGCTTTGACTTCAAAACAAAAAAAATCAAAATTCTTTTTTTCATTTTCACACACAACATGAATTCATTTTAAGCACGAAAGCAGGCTCTTTGTCTGTTTTTCTCAATTTATTTTGGCTCCCAAGATCTGTCTACTTTAGGAACTTCTTTGGGTCTTTTCAGTTGGCTCCCAAAATCTGTCTACTTTAGGAACTCCTTTGGTTCTTTTCAGTTGGCTCCCAAAATCTGTCTACTTTAGGAGCTTCTTTGGGTCTTTTTAGTTGGCTCCCAAGATCTGTCTACTTTAGGAGCTCCTTTGGGTCTTTTCAGTTGGCTCCCAAGATTAGGAGCTCCTTTGGGTCTTTTCAGTTGGCTCCCAAGATTAGGAGCTCCTTTGGGTCTTTTCAGTTGGCTCCCAAGATCTGTCTACTTTAGGAACTTCTTTGGGTCTTTTCAGTCCGTCTCTATGTTTATGAAGCTGGGTTCCACAATTACCCCTTAGAATGAAGACAGAGGATTGCAAGTTTTGGTCTCTGGATGCTAGAATAAGCAATCAATGATAATAAGATTCTATGATAATAAGCGCAACTCGACGTGTCTTCAGTGTTTTCATACTTTTTTGGAAGTCGATGACATCACTAAGTCGATGACACCTCTGGAATTCATTCTGAGACGACGTAACGAGTATTTGGGTTGCTTTTTCAAAGAAAATTTTGAACGTTATAGACGATCGACTTTGAAGGTGGCACATCGGGAAAATAAAACACATAATTTTAAGAATTTGGGCCAAATTACAACTGTAGCGACGTTTCTGTCTCGAAATGAAGCAAACCTGTCAATCCTAATGAATTCTCATTGGTCAAGTTTGTTGATTCATTCAAAACGAGGTTACGCAGGGTGAAATGCCTTGTGATGGGCTCGCACCGTGGGGAGGCTGTTTGTACATGGGTGGCCATTTCGAATTAGTTATAGACAGATTATCATTGTTGGGACTAACGAAATCTGCTCTTTATTTTAATGCAGCGATTCCTTGTAATTTTGCTGCAAAGTCAAAGGAATGTTTGGTAACTTATCGAAGAATAAGCCATCCATTCGGAAAGATTTAGAATAAACGTTATCATAATGATTGGAATGTTATGTTGAAATTAAACAATTTTGTTTCATCAGGTCAATGAGATTGATCTTGAGGTTGTTCACAGTCGTTACGTAACCAAGTAACGAACTTTTCATGCAAAATTGATATAGAAATGTTGGCAATTTCATTTGATAAACGTGGTTTATAATCTTCTTAACTCTAATGGATGTTTTCTGCCTCATAGTATGCAATGAACCAATTTCAAATTTTGAGACTTTGAGGCCAGCATGTCAAGGGAAGTATGTTTTGCTTCAAGTTCTGCAAGGTCTTAGGCTTCTTCTTTCTTGTCACCTTGCAACTGCATAGTAGGAAACAAGTTCCTGGTTAATACTCCTTTGATTTCGATTGTGCTTTTTTTTATTCTTAAATCAGCGGAAAATCCAAAGTTAATCATGCGTATTTGTTGTTTTGGTGCTGTGTCGAGCAAAGGTGTAACGACAAGCCGAGTTGTTGGTTCGAAGGTAACCTTGTTGTCCTATTCTAAGTTCCAGGAAAGTCGTAGAAAAGGGCAAGTAACTGTCGAAGAATCAATTGCATTCCGAACTATGTGCCTTGGGGAGCTGCGCCTGCTAAGGGGATTTGAAGTAATAATCAGCTCGCTGTTAGTTTCAGATACTTCATGTCACCTTTAAACATGCTCCGTTTTGTCTTTTGAATATTCTGAAAGTTTGTTACCGCTAAAGATTTATCTAACTCTAAGAAAGAGCACTCGTGTTTCTGATGCTGGGAAGAGTTAAAACGGATGTAACTTTTTAAGGAAAAAAGAATTCTTGGAACAGCGCAAATGAATGAAGCTAATATCTTTAGCGGAGCAAAACCTTTTGTGAGTGTCATACTTAGTAATTTAATCTACGCTTTGGGGCGTAGAACAAAACGGTTATAGGTTACTGTCTAGTTGCTTTTCGCATCGCATGGTCCATGAAACTGGTACAATCAATTTAGAACTGTCCTCCTCTACATAGAAAATGGTATAAAGCTATGTCTTCAAGGCATCGAACACTCGGCAGTAGATCCGTTAACAGTAAATCTAATGGAGGTAGAGCTCTATAAGAACGCCTTCTCTGTACGATGTGCGATAGAGCGATGTCGATCTTCAGATTCCAATTTAAAATCCTTTCTCCGTATGAATTTGGCTGTATCCACCAAAAACTTTGTCTGGCAAAGCAAGAAATTACAGAGACCAAGAAATCCATGCGATTAATTGCTCCACAAAGGCGGTCTGCTTTAATATATCTTAAGATTAATCATTGAATAAAATAAATATTTAGGAATTATAATATCTTATGCTCTTCGCAGCTTTAGATATTCAAGAAATGACAGAAAAACAACATTTCTCGATGAACTACACGGAAATTAGGAAAATTGAGTTGAGCAGATGTGACAAAAGTCGTATATCATAAAATCAAATATTTCAAATAGAAGGAGAGTCAGGTAAGAAAAATAGAACTTCACAGGAACAAAGGAATGTTTATCTCAAAGTGTTGAGAATATCTTTCCGCTGTTTACAAGATAACTGAGATTATACCATTTCAGTGCTGCGAAATGGGAAAAATGCTGCTAAAAACATTCTGGTTATTGTCGACATTTTTCTGTATACAATATGATTTATTGGCGAATAAAATTAAGAGGGTCCCATGGGTTATGATCAGTTGGAGGTTATGGTAAAAAGGCACCTCGATTAGGCCCGTAGAAAGAAAATAAATTCCCCAGGTTTAAACAACATTGACTAGGAAGAAAAAATCGCTCTCTACAGCCATGAAAGCGTGCGTTGCTATATTTTCAAAGTGGTTAAAATGGTGCTTGCTAGTGCTTCAATTATTTCTACGGCTTTCTTTGCGACCACGGTACTTTTTTGTAATTTATATGTAAGATCTTTTTTCATTAAAAGGAAGGTCGTGAGCTACAAAATTGCTATTTGCTACAAGATATGTTAAGGCAGGATAACAACAAACCTTTTGATGACTGATATCTAGTGCCCTAATGAAGAAGAACAAAAAAAACGGGCTTGCAAAGTCCAAGAATTCATTATCCAGTCGTTCTCAGAGCATATGAGAATTTCACAACTCAAATTAAGCTTTACCAAACGAGAACCAACCATCAAAAGTTCTGGACAGAGCAAAACTAAGTTTGCAAATAATCTTTTTGTTGTACAAGATTTAAATATGGCTTAAAAATGCAAACATTTTTAAACATACTAAAGCTTTTCGTCTGAAACTTTTTAGCAAATATAACATCAGAACATATGTTAGGTCGAAAAGTCTACGCTAGGAAATATATATATATACTTAGTTGTGGATTGAAATTGGCCAATGAGAAACGAAAGCGCATGACTGTTGTGGTTACCCAATCAGAGCTGCTTGTCGAATCTGGTAGCATCAACCGATATTTTCTTGACAAATCTAGTGATTGGACCAAAACTTTTATTCAATATAATTCAATTAATAACTTGACCAGTGGCGGCGCTAAAGGGGATATGAGCCCCCGCCCCGCTTTTGTCAAAATATGGCCCACTTGTTTCTTTTAGAAATTGATTAAAAAGCGCTAAGTAGGGGTAGATCATATTTCCTATAGATAATCAACCTGGTACAAAGCACTGAAACGAGGCAAAAGGGACATGGTCTCACTGGCCACGGCCACGCCCATTACCCTCCCACCCTGCAGTAGCTGACGCCGCCACTGAACTTGATTCTATTACCTTTTGGAACCTGAAATGTAGCGCAGTACAAACATATTTCTAAGAAGTGACGTGCACGAAATTTTGGCATAGCCTTCAGTACTACTGTAGTCCCAGTGGCATCGTTATTGTAAATTTGGTTATATCAACTTCTGCTTTTCTAGCTTGCGTATGCAAGATGTTTTTAGTTTGTTGCCCTAATCAAGTGCAAGTTTCCTCCTCTTGCCAAGGTTTTTGCAGAGAAAAGCAAGCATTCAGTGACGGTGCTGCTCGCTCCTGTTCTCGACTTCACAAAGTCACATGACTGTGATAGCATCTTGGAAAAACCCGCGTCATTTCCTTTCAAGATTTCTGTGGTCCGTCTGGCAAACATTCACAAAAGAAGTCAAATCATATCGAGATCTTTAAAGAGATTTCTATTTTCAATACAATTAAAGAAATCCTATTCCTATACACTTTGAGTTTTAGTGAAGTGAGGCACTAGCTCTTAAAAAGCGAAAGTTGTTGCCCGAGGCAATCGTCTTGTGTCTACCTAATTTGATTGGTATGACAAGCATCCTCACTTGACAAATCCTGCTATCAGAAACTGAAGCAAAAATATCCATTGTTTGAAATTAATCTAGGCTTCGTAACAGTGGCGCTCAAAAAAACTAAGACTCAAAGTCAGAGCGTTACAACATTGGATATTTTACCGTCCAAGGGCTCTTTACAACATGCAGAATAAATTCATTTCACTTTATCTTCCTAAGGCTTGTCATGTAGATTTTTGTGGCGAAACTTTGCTTTTCATGACAAATGATGTTTTCAAGCTCAGGAATTTAGTGGGCAGTATCTGTTTGGGTGGTGCATTATTTGTCATTCTCGTGCTTTGCTGAACTATACGTTTTGCACATTTGTGTTAAAAAAGTTTCTACACAATTTTGTTCAAAGTTGAATCAGTCTTTCCTTTGTTGTCCAGCATGGAAAATTCATCTTGGAAGAAAATATCGAAGTTATCTTTCACTAAACGTTTATGTAACATCCGCTATACAAGAGCAGTTCGAATTCCTATAACCCAAAACTTTACTTTAAAACCACTGGGCCTTGTGCATATCAGAGGCTGTCTCGGGTTTTTGACCTTTGGACTTGGTTGGCTGGACGTCAAAGAGTGAAAAACGAATTAAGCTAATTGCTCCAAAAACCAACTGTGTTTGCACCACCGACTATTGGGCATTACTAATTCTTTTGGCTTTTTTATCATACATCCTTTTATCTATCATATTTAGACAGCTTTTTGTGGCTTCTCAACATTGATACAGTTGTGAGAAAAGACAAGCCATTGATTTCTTTAAGGATGTTGAAATATTTTATCGTAACTGGTAGACAGATGAATTTATAAAACAAATTCTGTATTTGTTTGAATGTCCTTGTTTGCATCCTGTTTGCTCTATTTCTTCAACTTTAATGCTTTACTAAGAAAATCCTCTGTCATTGTTTTAAGAATAAAGCTGTAATTGATTTTTGGAAGATCAACTCCAAATATTTGTATCAATAAAAGTCATAAACAAACCAGACACAGTTTTTGACCTCCAGGTCTTAGCAGC